TGTTCTGGGGTCAAAATGTCATCCAGCGTAAAACCCCCACGGCTGTTTTTTGTTACCTCTGAATTGTTTCATGAGGCCTTTCAGAAAGACACTGATATCGATGTAATCCCAGATTGTCCACTTCAGCTCTAGAGGAAAAGCCACTGGATTCTTTGATGGCTTTTTTGCCCGGTGTCTGGCAGAGGGAAACAACGTTCTTTATCATCCTGCCAATGGAAGAGGCTTTCTAAAACATCAGAGTGTGCTTGAGGAATTAAATATGGGCTAGGCACCATGGCAACCCAGGAGATCCATAGCTGGTCCAAACTGCACTCATCCACCCTCATCAAGCTAACTGATGGATCTAACAGAGGCCACCAAGTCTCAGTCCTGGGCCTCTACTCTTTAAAATTCTGGTGAATCACTTGGACAAATGGGTGGATTGGATCTCTCCAAATCTGAAAAAGGCTAAATTTGTGAGGTAGGTAATAGTGTAGAAGACGGATATAACACTCAAACTAATCTTGATTGGCTAAAAGTAATGCAATAGAATTTAATAGAGACAAATGCAATTAATAGTTGCAAGGATGGCCGAATACAAACTGATGATGAATTTAAACCAACAGCATGATCTACCACAAAAAGATGCAGGAAGGGAGGCAACGTTTCCTAATCAGGGTTAGTGCTACTTCCACTTTGTTCTGTGCAGCACGTTTTAAAAGGGTTTTTGGAAGAGGCTCAGAGGAGGGAAACCAAATTGGCTGGGACCCAGTGGATCCATAGCTGCCTCAGTCCTTTGAGGAGGGACAGACAGTAAATGTTTAGCCTTGAGCATGGAAGACTCACAGGGGATGCTGACTGCAGAACCAACTATTAGTTTGTTCGTGTCTCTGAAGGGGAGCCTCCTGCTTCGCTTCATCAGATTTGAGCAAACTGTCTCCACAGTATGATGTTGCGAAGCAGGACCCAGCTCTTAATCCATGGAGGATCTTGCTGCTTTGCTTCACTTCTGTTGCAAATGGAGAAGCTCCTGTCTGCAAAGCAAAGCGGTCAGTCCACCCAGATAAGCCTCTCCTCAGGGCTCAGTGCTGCATTGAGACAGATCATGATTGATCTGCCGAGACCTTCCAGATACCCAGAGAGGTGGGAATCCCCTTCGTAAGATGGGTTCAGGCAGAGGCGGGACAGCCCCCTGCTGTGGAAGGTTTACTTTGGACTCCTGCAAAAGATCAGGGGTTGGATCTCACGGCCTCCGTGGCCCTTTCCGACTGCAGGATTCTAAGGAGATGCATGCCGTTCAATTCCAGACAACTTGGAGAGAACTGAGAATTGAAACTGCAGAAAGGATTAAAGTATGATTTTTAAAATAAAAGGAAGTGCAAAATATTTCCTGATAGAAAATGTTTGTTTTCACAAAAAATGATAAGTGATTTTGATAATGAAAATGAGTGATAAACCTTGGGGACATATGTATAATATTTTAATATCAGATGGTGCTTCTCATAATTAGTAATAATTACTTATATCAAATATGATTAATTATGTTGAGGTTTTCTGAGGAAATATCTAGAAAGCCCTGAAATAAGTTATATTTAAGTTGAATTACTACTAAATACAAGCAGAGTTTTCCAAAATGGGACCCAGCAGGAGGAGTTGCCGATCTCTGGGGTCATAAGAAGAAAGAGGGTGGATTCACTTACTTCTTCAAGAAGCTTCCACTGTCCTAAAGAAAAAGAGACAAAGTCTGAGAGGAGCTCTTTCCTGTGCAGAGAATTACATTCTTAAATTCACACAATAAATTAATTATCTGGAGAACCACAGGCAAACAGACATACAAAAAGTAGCTCCAGTGTTTTAAAAAAACCATCCTGTTTGTCATTTTTCTCCAGCCATTCACCTCTTTTAGAGATGTATTATTTATTTTTACTTTCTTGTCTTAGGAAAATTATACCCCAGCTGAATCCAACTCAATCATACAGTATACGATATATATAGTGAAAAATAATAGTTAAAGGAAGAGAATATTTCAAAACGAAAATAATCTGTCAGTAGAATAGAAAGAACTTCCAGAATCAATCTCTGAAGGCCATTGGAAAATCCAGGTGGTTACAACTCTGTAGAAGGCCCTCAAGGTGGGGGCTCTCCTTGCCCTGGAGATCAGGCTGTCCCACAGGAGGGGAGACCCTCCAAAGAACTCCCACCACCACGTCTCTTTGTGGTCATACGAACCCTAAGGAGGAACTCTGAAAACCACTAAGGGCCTAGAGATTGGGACCAGCACTTTGAATTCTATTGCTTCTGCACATCCTGGTTTTTCTGAATTACGTATCCTGACATACTAGTCTTCATATTTTCCAACTTCCTTTCCATGGAAAGAGTCAAACAGAGTAGTTCTGTGGTAGGTCTAAAGCAGTCCAGTCCACTCCATCATCTCAACTTCACCCCTTACCTGTAAGAGTTTGCTTGCTGGCTGCTGATGCTTCTCCTCCATCTCCTGGATGAGATCCTCAAGAGAGGAAAGTTCCTCCATGTGTTCGGCCAGCCACTTGTCCCTTCTTGCCACAATCTCCTTCTCCGTCTCTTCCATTCTGGCCAGCAGAAGCTTCTCCTGTTCTTCCAAGCAGCGTCGTAGTTCTCTGAACTCAGCCACTGTGTTTTCTCTCTCTTTTTTGATTAAGTCCTAGAACAAGAAGATGAAAAAATTAAAGGCCATCACTATTATGATAATTAAACAGATTCACGGAGTAGCCCAGAATTGATATGGGAGAATTTTGTAGGGAAAAAAACCATTTTGACTTTTCAACCATTTTGACATCAACAAGAGCAGGGGGAAAGGTTTCTAAACCGCCCCCCGAAAAAAGGCTCCACTTTGAAATGTTCCAAAATATAGATAGAAAGTTTCAGTTCACATTTCTCAGTAAGATGAAATATGGCTTGCGTTAATTGAACTGAACTCCTGTTTTGTAAACCATGGTTTATATCATATGTGCACTTAAGTGTGACTCATGCAGGCAATTGTGAGAAATAATCCATGGGACGTCCCACTCAAAGAAACTTCCTTTCATCTTCTCAAACGGGCTCAGGAGGGGTTCACTTCTTAGGAAAAGCATTACTGACAAAGAGACCACGGCCTGTTAGCCCGGAAGCTCATCACCGCTGGATCAATACTTACTAGCATCTGCTCCATTTTTCGTTCTGTTTCTGTTCTGTATGCAAGAATTTTTTCTTTCTTCTCCTTCTGAGCCTTCAGGCAATTCCCAACCTGGATCTGAAGAGAAAATATATTTCCTGAGTGTCTTTTCTTTTTGAGGTGTTCTGTAAAGAATTACAAGTTAGGGAAAATCAAGTTAGAAAATACGATGTTTTACACTTAGGAACTTTTGGGAGAGGAGCTGGGGCTAAAAGTTTTCTCTCAGATACCAAATATCAAGGGTGGAAGCTCCTTTTTAAACCGCACAATAAAAAAATTGAGCCTTGAATGTCTGAAAAGTTAAACATTTTCATAATTAAATCACGCAAGGCATTTTCATAAATGCAAAATGGCAGTGTTGCTAGAGAGAGTTGCAAAATTATGCGTTGGGCAGGAGAGGGTGAAGGACCCCAGGAGAAGGCCCAAAGTTTCTTCAACAGCCCTGGGGAGGGTTTCTTGGTCAAGAGGAAAGTAGAAGGTTGACGGTCCTGAGGGGAAGTAACCAAGAGGTCCCACCGTGCTATAAAGAGATTATG